GTGGGATGGGAACGGGCTCGTCGGTGGGCTTGGGAATGGGCTCACCGTCGGGCTCACGGATTTTTTGTTTTTTAATCGATTAACCGAGGCGGACGTTCTAAGTTTGCCCGCCTCCGTTAATTTGTTAACCGAGGCGGGCAAAGCAATCGCCTCGGTTAAGGTCCGATTAACCGTGACCTTTCGGCGGAGGCGTTTGCGTTGCCCGCCTCGGTTAAACTTACTGTAGTAGTGCACTCTGCTCTGCGTCGTTCAGAAGAAGAAGGGTGATAAACACATGTTGCAAGCATATTTTTAAGTGTTTTCGATGCTTCATAGGTATGTTGCAAGTGTTTCATATGGATGTTGCAAAAGTTAGATCGGATGGTTGTACACATATGTTGCAAGTTTCTGCTCCCAATGTTTCATCTATTTTTTCATGCACATGTTGCAAGTGTGTTTATCTGGATGTTGCATATGTTTCACATATATATTACAAGTGTTTTATTTGGATGTTGCGTATGTTTGCAATGGTTTCAAGTGATTTTCATGTGTTTTTGCAAGTGTTTCGTACGCATATTTCTAATGTTTCATCTGTATTCAGACGTATGTTGCAAGTGTTGCATCTGAATGTTTCGAAAGTAGATCAGGTGCTGTACATGTTGCACTGTGTATGAGAAGCGGAGGGGGCGCGAGCGGTCCCCATGTGCGGTCTGGCGCCGCGGGTGGCGCGGGCAGGGGCGTGCTGGCGCGAGCGAGGGCGTGGAGTGCAGGCGCGCGCGGGAAACGGAGTGCAGCGTGAGCGTTCGTCCGAACGTCCGGGCGCTAGCACTACCGTTGTGATTATCATACGCAAATTTTTGAATCGGAATGCGTGTTTTTTTGAAACAAAAATTATTCATAGCTATAAGCCTACGTGCAAATTACTACAGCAAGCTGATTTATCAACTACTCGTTCCAAATTATAAGTCATTTTAACTATTCAAAATAGTTGGAATGGCTTACGAAATGGAGTGAGTAGTTCTCCAGAAACTACCATTTATCAACTGGTTATAAAGGTGTCCCAAGTTGCCTGGCCTTGCTAGCTCTTCACGTTTGCAAGTTTTTTGCAGCCTTCTGCACAATTTACCTATCGTGAAAAGAAAAACATAGCACAAAAGTGCAATAAATGTGATGGATTCAATGCTTCTTGAACTAGGCTAAAATCCGTCTGAATCGATGAAAGAACATTAACAGTGGTATTGTTGGGTACAACATAGACTACAGATTTGTCACCTTTAATTCTTGATTTCCTCTCCGCAACCATCGATGATAAAATCGATGACCCAAGGTATCCCCCCCCCACACACACAATGAATGACTACATCATGGCAATCACCGAAACTATCACAAATAAAAGATCCTGATAAAAAATCATCTGCTTTCACAGGTTTATTAATTTGGACTAAACCTAAGAGAATTAGATATAAAGAACTGTTGTAAATGAAAGATGGTCTCCTCTCCTTCTTGTTGCCTCGGGACTCAGAGGAGTGAAAGAAGAGGGCCGCTAGACAGCGAGGCGTTCCTGATTTTCTTTAATTAGGCCCCGTTCGCGTGCCCTTAAACCCGGCTTGAGTCGCTTATTTTTTCATCTGAAACAGTGTTTTTCTCTCACAAATTCCTCCAGCATTCCTCCAAACCATCCAAATTCCTCCAGAATTCAGACGAGCGAACAGGCCCTAAGGTGGGAAGTTGTCCCGGCTTTGTAGATATTAATTTACACAGGCCTGTTGAGACGGTGCGTCCATCAGTCTCTACGAATGAGTTTTCACTACAAAATGACACCTCTTTTACAACGTAAATATGCGTTGCTAAAAGTCCATATATATACGTCAAGATGGCAATGGGTATATACCCGATGGGTACCACCAACCCATACCCGTACCCGCCTGGTGAGATTTTCCCCGCTGGGTTACCCGTATCTGCACATGGGTAGGACAATTCACCCATACCCGCACCTATGCGGGTAATGCTACCCGACAGATAACCCGTACCCGTGAGCAAACCTGAGCATGACATGATATCATCATTCAGCAGTTCAGACATTCAATAACTTTTTTCTTTGAAACGAGACATTCAGTAACTAGTAGTTCGGTACATATGCTCAAAAGCAAATAATCTGACACCAATCAACACAAGAGACCCGTCAAAGCATGGATCTAGCACAAAACAACATAGCCAAAGAACGGATCTGACACAAATCGATTCTGCTCTGCTCTCCCTTGTCATCGTGGATCCATGAATGGCGAGGAGAGGAAAGAGGATGAGGGCCAGCAATCACGGTTGGGGCCTCTTGCTCGCCGTTGGACTGTTGGAGAGGAGTGGGAGTCGCGCCGGAGTTTGCTGCCACCAAGGGGCAAGGGGAGAAGAAGCGAGCGCCTGGATGCCTGGTGGTGACGATGGGCCGTGGGCGGCGGCAGGTGTCGAGTGCGGGGTTGGGAGAAAAGCGGCGATCGGTGTCGCGTGCGATGCGCCTAGCACCGGTGATGTGCGGCTGGGAGGTTAGGGCTGAGGGAGAGAATGAAATAGAGCTAGGGTTAAAGAATTGGGTTGTCAATATATATATTAGTAGGTTTCAGCTGGGTTTGGGCCAAATATTTGGTTTACATGGGCCAAATTGAGTAGAATAGCTGGTTGTATATGTGGGTATTTATTACTCACGGGTAGGCAGGCATGGGTAGTATGAACCCATACCCGCACCCGCTTACCCGAAGGGTAGAGGATTTCGCCCAGTAACATACCCGTGGGTAGGAAAAGTTATTCATACCCTCATCTTTGCCGAGTAAAACCCGTCGGGTACTCGGGTTTCAGGTACCCATTGCCATCTTTATATATACGTTGGCAGGGTTTATACCAACGCATCTAATATGCGTTGCTTAAAGTGACGTTGCAAGGATCTATTGCAACACTTATTTATGTGTTGGTAACACATAGTAATAACCGTTGCAAAGTTGCAACACATAATGATGGGTTATAGCAATGCTTATATGTGCTTGTACAAACCATGAGCGAACGACTTCTATGGCTTGTAGCAACATGTAGATTTCGTCTGTTGCAACACTTATATGTGTTGCAAGGAATAAACTATTCGATCTTTAATATCATAATTTTTTTTATACAAATAGAGACAATGCATGTACAATTAATAATGTGAAATTCAAGACCATCCAACACGTAGAAAATAAGCATATACAGCCATATAGTATAAAGAATTTGCTGTATTACAACGAGTACCATCCGCATAATTTATGATACAATTTTTTTGTTTAGAGTACAAGTTCCAATGGGAGTAAAATATAAAACATAAAGGGATCCCTCTTAGAATGCCAACAACCCTCCTTTCTCCTTCCTCCGGTTTAGTCAGCATTCCATTGATGTGATCATCCATTTATTGTGCCACATTGAATGTTTCTACAAAAGTATATACGGGGAATATTAGTCTATAGCTGGAAGAGCAATTAAGAATATTAGTATAATATGAAGGTTTAAGAGACGTGTCTTATAGACTAGCATCATATGATGAGCAGATGTACATTATATCTTTCACAAATATCAATCATTAAAGCCCACACAGTATTATAACAGTTCCAGAAAAGTACTGCTTGATCACCAAAATTTAAGTAGTAAAAAGTGTAGGAGCTGAAATCCAGTGACTGGGCAACAAGAAAAAATTGAGTACACTGTACATGCAAACTTCTGCCCAAAATAAGAAACTGAAACTCTATGTTATTTAAATATCTCAAATGTCAAACGAGTAAAAGTAAAACCCTGGACATATTGAGTATGTGCAGTACAATTTCATTCAGTGTTATTAAGGTGACCATACCCATGTCTGTGAGTTCTCATACCACCTAAACTAAGAATGCCATGGTTTTAGATGGTTTTGTCGATTCCAGACATTTGGTAGGTTTGACAAAAAAAACACTGAATTAAACATAATTCTAGTGGATCAGCTCAAGTATAAGTATGAGATTAGTGAAAGACATCATACCTTAAATCTAGTAAACAGTTGATAGTTCACATCCTTGATCCTTGTTGACAAACTGTGGATGTGAAGGACCAGTAAGTCTGCTACACAATTCTTTAGCAATATTAGGCTATAAATAACAGATAGTCAATCCAAAAGTCTCAATTAATTTCACTGATAGAGCAAATCATATATGGTTAACATGATACAATCTATTGTGAAATACTTTTACCAGCTAAAGCTTTGCATAGTATCAAAGCAAAAAAAAAAGGATATCATATATAAAATCAAATTGCCCGTAGAAAAATTCAAATAGGTGGTACCTTGTTGAATTGGCATGTCATCTCGCCATATTAGTCCAAAGTGTGACTAGACAATCTGCAACAATACTAATTGTCTAGGGGCCAGGTAACTGATAAGATGCAATTTGATCAAGAAAGAAACCATCCATAATTTTTTCCCAGACCACAGGAATGGTTAGCCCATAGAAAATTAATTAACGTGAGATAATAAACAGTTACTACCTGTGTTAACGTAGCTTTACAGATCTTGGATATGCATGATCGCATTTGTTGATCCAACTGAACAGAAGAAACTAAAATATTACTGATCAAGAATTTCACTGGTAGGTGAAAAAAATAAACAAAATCCCACACAGGTGGGACATGATTCACAATTTAACCTGATCTAAAGTAGGGGGATGGATAGTTATGGTTGAAAGCACTACCAGGGCAACGTCCTGCTCTAGCAAATGCTAGCCTCCATCACCAATCCAATGCACAAAGATACTATGCTTTGACTTGCAGATTTGGATTATACCTCAAACTTAGCATATTTGAGTTATACTGCAATTTGCAAACATGTTTAGAGCAGAAGCCCATTACACTTCAAAGATTACTGAAGACTAAATTTAGTCCCTAGTATTTTATTCAACATATATTGAGGAAGCTAGCGTGCTACCAAACGGAACAGAATCTTGCATAATTTCAACCAAAAAAATTATGTTTAAAACAACACACTATTCGAAATACCCATGATTACGACTGTTGATCTGCAAGATTGACAGTGTTATTTTCATATACTATGATGCATGATAACTTAAATAGTTGTTCTTGCGGATTAAATAATGCAGTATCTAGAAGCTAAATTAAATTAGGCACTGGTCTGCAGTATATATTCATATAGATCCAATTACAATGCACAAATGCAGGCAAGTGTATAAACAGGGAAAAGGGAGGCTAATCTTGCAAGACATTATTTTCTTAAACCTTAATTGTTCAATTACCTTGTACGTCCATATAAAGCACGAGGGTTTAGAAGATATGCCTTTGTCTGCACAAATTCAAAGAAATGAAGATAGTTACATATCAAGGCACTAAAAATAATCACACAGAAATAACGCAATTCATGAAAAAAAACAATCTGGAGAAAAATAGATTTTAGGAGAAGGCAAATTATTGAATAAAAATAAATTGGAGATTTGGTCAGCTTGTTTTGATCTGGGATGTGTAGAGAGGTGTGACTTACCAAAATGTTCGTCCTGATCTCTCCATGTACAGTTAGTGGTGCTTCTAATCAGCTACTCCATCGTGACCTCCCCTGCAAGATGCCTGACAGTTACCACAACTGCAGAGCCTTTTTGTGAACGGATTAATCACTTAGGATTGAAACAGAGATCTAGGGTTAGAAAGAGTTTAATGTGAATTTCACCAGAGGAAGTGGAGCAATACTGACTAGATCCAATCGAAACGATGCAACGGGATAGATCAAGTGCAGGACGCAAAGGCCAGAGATGATTGGAACCTGGACATCAGATCGAAGAGATGGTGGACACGGATTGTTCAAGCCCTAATGTTGGCCAGCACTCGTCGCCGCCGCATCGCTTGCCGCCTGGACCGTCATATCTGATTTGTGTCAACTCCGCATCAGTGCTCATCTGCGCTCGCCGCCGAGACGACCCTCGGCGAGGGCGGCGAACTTGACCACGCACCTGCTGCACCTTGTATGCTCAACGCCGCCACCTGCACAATCAAGATGGTCGCTATGCTTATGGATTCCTCCCTGCGTGCATGATGGAGGTTAGATCTAGGAGTGGGAGAGATCAGAGATGGGTTAGGCTTGGGGAAAGGAAATGGTTACGGAGGTGGGGAGACGAGTAGCCTGTTCCGGAGGCCGTATCGCTGGTACGCTGCGAGAGAAAAATCTGTGAGAGAAAAATCTGCGAGAGAAAAATACTGTTCCCGGTTAGAAAGCGAACAAGTAAGTGGAGAGGTGGGAATTGGCCTCTCACGCATCTTCATAGCGTTGCTAGACATCCGATGCAAGACAGGGGTTTGTATTAGAAAAGATAGAGCTTCCTAAATATGAGATGAGGCTCAAAGATAGTTGTGCCAAACGATGCCTATATCCATCTGTTCCGTTTACCATGCAATGGCAGGCACAAATCAGCAGTGAACAAGCAAATTGCATTAAGTTTATTAAGTACATATGGCCTGATCATGTCGTTTTCCTGTCCCGAATCTCTAGCGTCACGCACAAGAGAAATGTCTTATTTGCCATCGTACTTATCGTCTTGGCCCAATCCCGGTGAGATGGCCCCGAGACAGGCACAAGTGCATGGGAGACAAGCATGCCTTATGCCTGTACCATACCACTGGGCGAGCATGGTGCATGCATGATTCAAGATGGACCTCACGACGGACCGACCGCATTTCTAAGTTGGCTCCACCGTCGATGCCGTTGGAATGTCTGATGTGGCGGCGTCTTGCATTCATGAATCATGATGTGTAATTATTACTACTACTCTCTCTATCCCAAATTATCATCTGAAACATTTCTTGACAGAATCTAAATAATTTGGCTAAACTTGGGATGCTCAAGAAAGTTGGAATAAATTATAATTTAGAATGAAGAGAGTACTAGCCACCGAAAATTCATCATTAGAAACATTTCTCGAGAATCTAAATCCTTACCAAACGTACCCTTAGTGTTGTCAAAATATTTTGTTGGAAACAAGAAATTGTGGCTGTTTGGGTCATATAAGTATTATTATATATGTTATGGAATATATTTTAATAGTATATTTGTTTGAAGTTATAAATGTTGATATTGTTTCTACAGTAAACTTAAGGCATGTCTGGATGGGAATCTACGGATTCTGGATAAAAATAATCTCTGATGTTTCTTGGATTTTGTGTCTATATGTTAGAAATCCTCTAGAATCCTAGGGTGTTTGGATTGGAATATAGGATTTTTGAGATTTTTTTTCTATCCAGAATTTGAAAATCCATATGGGTCCAAACACTATCTTAGTTAAATTTAGAATACGCACACAAGACATAAGGTTCGAGAAAAATACAGTGCTTGAAAATTAAAGCTGAAGAGTGGACCAATCAGATTACCACTTTAACGAACATTACAATTCTGATAGATCGACGAACGACATGACACAAACGATTTACCAAGGTCAATCATGAGCCGACGACGACACAACTTGACAGCAAGCTCACACGTGCATGCATGTATATAGGATACTGGCATTACATCCAACTTAAAATAGAACTCGATACACTCTTAATTTGATCAGAAGGAACGACGAAATAGGATAGAGGCACACATCCTTGCAGGTTGCATGAAAAGCTGGAAACGCTGGCAGACACATCATCATCTGAAAATCATCACCTGAGGCTGCAACTAATATTAATCTCTACGAGCCCGCAGTGTTAATTAACCTGAGGCATTGAGCCATCTTGCACAAAGGGTTCGCCCCCTCTTGCTCTTATCTGAATGTTCTGTACCGCAACTACCTCTTCTTCTTCGTTTTCAGAAACATCAGACGTCAACTTGGTGGGCTCTTGTGCACCTATACATTATTATTAAAAGAGGGAAGAAACTAATTAACCGCTTACTTCCTTTGTTTACACCACCGCAAAAATACTTAACTGTAGTATTAATATCAACTGGCCTTTCTCACTTTTCAGAGTGGTATATTTGGTTGTTTACCTGAAGTGTCCTTCTGGTCTTCAGCGCGGCCGCCGTAGCCGGTGACGCGCTCGATGAGCATGAAGAACATGTCCATGAACTGAGCTGCGAAACTGGCCATGGGAGGGATCGGAGCTGATGGCTAAACACTGGTGCCCGAGGATCTGTGCAACACTCAACACAGTAGAGCCGCTGCTTCTACTACTAGCTATCGCTCTGCTGAGCTCTCAACTGCTTTGCTGTTGCTGGTTTTGTTTTTGAGCTGCGAGTTGTCACTGGTGAGTTCTCTCGCTATTAACGGGCGCCCAATTTATAGACGGCCGGGTCACCGAACGCGTCAGCTTTGCCGGACCGGACGCTAACGCATGCATTCCCACGCGCGCGAGGATATTATTACTAGCGACAGCGAGTGGGGACTGGGGAGCATGCAGCTCGATCACGTTCTCTAATTCTAAATCCTCGCGATTTTGTTTTTGCATGTTTGGCCACATCAACGGCTGCATAGTACTGTAGTCCATATTCCTACTTGCTTTCTGACATAATGCGTGCGATGGCTGGAAGAGCAAATAAAATATATTGTGATCACAATTCACAAAGGGTGACTAACAACGATGGACCTATGCAAATGGCATTACTTTATGCGGCAAATACTTGGGTAACAGAGACCCATCTAATCAGCAACTTGCACTACTATATTTCTCAAATACGATACGCGTGATCGGGTTGTTTTTCACTTTTTTCTTACAGCTGATCTCTGGTCACATGAGAAATCGCGTGATTTGTCCCTCTGCCTGTCTTCAATCGACCCTCCGCGGTGGAAACAGGCAGGAATGCTCGTTATTCTATTTCTACATCTATGAATGTGGTATGCATGCAGGCAGCGTGCCTACTGGGCCAGCGTGATTCATCATAATGCATGGTTCTCGCCTGCTGGAGTGCTGGTGTATATGTTGTCGTTATGGTCGTTATCATGTTGGGTTGGGGAAGCAGAGGGTAGAAGAACTACTAGCACATACATGTTCAATTATACTAGCCACAACGTGCGATGCTTGGAACCGGAAAGCTAGAGAAGCTCTGAGCATTGATTTGTACATTGCAGCTAGGGATGCCTGAAGAAAATATGCTGGTGTGACTGATTCTATTCACTCCTCGGGGCTTAGAGTGCACGCAGAAGAGAGAGGGAGAATGAAAATAAATACATGTGTCGTTGTTTGTTTCTAGTAGATCCCACGTCGATGCTTAGACATTGCAGGATTCCAGGGTGGAGGGATCTGTTTTGGGCGTTGATACACACCACTGCGGTTAGTCTATGGAGAATTTTTATTTATTTTGTATATATATGAAAGAATATTTGTACAGAGATGTTACAAGGCTCCAAGAGCCAAAGAAAAAGGAAGAAACATAAGTTATGAAAGATTGTCTCTCCACAAACTTAATTCTCTACTAATCTTCTGTTTGGCCTTGATGCAAACCAGGCCAAGTTCTTCTTTAAATGCTTCCTTCCAAGTCTGTAAATTTGCACTTTTTGTTGTCGAAGACGACTTCGTTCCTGACAGTCCAAATTATCCAACAGGCAGTGACGATCATTATTTGTCTGAAAATGCTGCTACCAAAGGGTGTTCTAGCATCTGTCTTCATGTCTAGCGGTTGGAGGTTGAGGTTCCAGTGAACCGAGAGAGATTGCCAATAGTCAGTGCTGAAGGGGCATTTGAAAAAAAAGATGAAAGCAGGTTTCTTCAACTCCACTATTGCTTGCCAGAAAAAGAATTTGTGCTTGCCAAGGTTTCTTTAAGACCATAGTCAACTAAACAGGGGTGAGGCTTGCAAGGATCCCTGAAGCTGTGAGTAAGCTTTCCTTGTGTTATAGGAATTTGAGCCCCAGATATAAGTCCATTCATCTTTAGTTTCCATCTCCCATTGTCACTCTTGGATCAAAGTTTGAAGTTCAGCAAGTTGAGCTGAGGCCTGAGTGGAGAGAGGGAGGAAGAAGATACTGCTGTAATCTCTGTCTAATTAAGAAGAATCTGATGGAGCATTAATTTGGGTTTTCTTGTGAAGGAAAAAACTTGTGGGTATTTAAACTGGAGAGGTTCAACTGCCCAATTATCTTGCCAAAGCATGACAGAGTTTCCTTTACTAGGATTGCACTTTGCTAGGAGTCTGAAATTTCCACTCAATTTCAGAATTTTTTTTTTGCCAAAGCATGACAGAAGGTACTAACATCTCTGCTAATTAGCCATCTAAGCTGATGCGTGTTCTCACCTGTCACCAACTCTTGGAATGGGCCCAAGAGGCCAAGACCGGCAGAAATGCTCACTACTCCACGTCAGTGTGTCGACATGCATGCAGATTGCAGAACGCCTGCTAGGCTGGCGTGATTATCCATCGTGTCATGATCGAGGTCGTCATTGATGTATCGCTAGGCTGCTGGCGTTGTCGTTATGGCTGGAACGACCTTCATTTTTCTTCCAAAGAATTGGCTGGAACGAGGTAATGATGCATGTCATGCATTAACGGAAATGGCTATTGCCTTGCTGATAGTTATCTGAACTTCTATGCTGTTTGCTTTAGTTCTTCCAATTCCAGCGCTCCTTTTTCTTCTGTTACTTTTTTGCCCCAGGGCATCGACTCCAAGCCGTTCTGCGCGGGCGGGAGCAGGTGGAGGTTCACCTACTACCCCAACGGCTACCAGGACTCGACGACCGGCTTGATCGCCTCCGCCGCCTTATCCTTGTTCATCAGGAGCTGCAACCATGTATAGCGGCTGCAATTATCCGTGGTCGTAGCGCCGCCCGCCATGCATGACCAGCACGATCGGCCCGCTGAGGTCGCCGTGGACAAGTTCGAGCAAGTATCCCGCGCGAAACTTGGCCATCTTCAGAAACGGTGTCCTCCTCTGCTTTCGTGCCGACAACTGTCGCACAGCTCGCCAGCGTGCTCAATGTGCGGTAGCTCGCGCACCATCTTCTCCAGCCTCCTCAGTGTGTCCAAGCTTAGATGGCTAAACTGTGCATGCCACAGCCATGGCTCCTCGATGCACCGCGCCGCCAGGAATACCGGCTTTCAGGTCGAGCAGGTAGAGGTGGTTCCGGAAGCGTTGGACCTTGGCGAGTAGCCGCTGCTCCCGGTCTCGAATCCTCAAGATGTCGCTTTTGATGAGCACCTCGCAGCCACGCTCATCCAGCTGCCCATACTGACGATGCTTGCCATTCTGGCACCAGAAGATGATAGTGCCACGGCCTCGAATCTCCACCTTCGAGCCATCACCTAACTTCACCGAGCCCATCATGACACCATCGAGCTCGGAGAATGCTTCCCGCGAGCTGGTCATGTGGTTGTTGGTCATGAGCTCAGAGAACGCTTCTTCTTCTTCTTCTTCTTCTTCTTCTTCTTCTTCTTCTTCTTCTTCTTCTTCTTCTTCTTCTTCTTCTGTGGAGCCTTGCTGCGGCGCTTGCCATCGCCGTCGCTTTTTCTAAACCATTTTATCATCTCTACCCATATCAGTGAATACGAGTTTAACTTGTGAAGGAAGATGGTTCATTGTGGATGGTAGCTAGTCGTTACAACAAACCGTGGAAGGCAAATAAATGACGGCACATGACCGTGGCTAGCTAGTCGTTACAACAAACCTAGTTGGAAGATGGCCCATTGTGGATGGTAGCCTGTGCGAGCATGCTCGTGGATATGATTTGTAGTTCAATGGATGGCTAGGTATGGTGGCAATGGCTTTGGTCCTTGTTATGTTGCTACAACAAGATGTTAATGCATCTGATTGTCGGTGTCCGGTGGGTTGGTGGCGACTCTTGTGAGTTGGTGAGGCGGTGACATGACACTCATGACTATGGCGCCTCAGATCTCCCATCTATGGTGGTTTATTGCGGCCATTGCCCCAACAGCTTATCTATTTGAACGATAGATGGTTCGGTGTGACAACAAGGGCCCTCGGCAAGGAGGGTGTGTGGGTGGGTTTGCGATGTTGTGTTGTTGTGATAGTTATCTGACTGTCACTTTGAGTTTCGTTGTCATGGTGGTATTGTTTTTATTATGTTTGGCATTTTTTTTAAGTTGTTTGCTTCTGTAAAATACAAGCCTTGTAAACATTACGGTTGCTTTTTAGGGGGAAAAAATCTCAGGCATTTTCTTCGAGTATAATAAAGTCAAAATTCAATCGCTTTTGCTGCTATTGTTTGCTCGTTCTGGTACAAGGGGAAAGACAAATGTATATATATATATATATATATATATATATATATATATATATATATATATATATATATATATATATATATATATATATATATATATATATTTTATTTATTTATTTATTGCAACTGAGCACTGTTTTTATTAACCTTACATGTTACAACGAGAACTACTAATACCCAGAACACGTCTAGTCGAAGGAACATTATTAGACTGCAAAAGATATAGCTACAAATTAAAGAAATGTTTTATGAGTAAAACATTCAGAGTTCAGAACACTAGCAGGTGTCATCGCAGTCTTCTGGGCTACGAACTTTTATTGCACGCAACGCAAGCATGCTCAACAATTGGCCCCCGCCGTCGATCCTTCTCCCACAACGGGTTCTGCTCCTCTCGATCTAACTTCAACGCGCTGCAATAGCAAGAACAAATCCAGCAGCAATAATGTCATTATCCAGTAATCCACCGGATGATGATGGTTGAGTGTTCGTTGCTGTACTCATACTGATGTCAACAACTAGCTAGCCGGCGAACTAGACAATTACCTGGATGTTGTGCAGCTTAGCGGGCTCCTGTACTTTGTCCTTTTCACCTCCAATGAGGCCATAGCCGGCGACACGGTCGATGAGACCGAGGAACTTGTCCTTGATCTGAGAAGCGAAGTTGGCCATGTGATCGATCGACAAATGGAACTTCTTAGCTAGTAGCTTATTCCTAATTAATGGAGTCTTAAGCTCAGCTGCTTAATCGTCCGAGTAAGCTTCTAGCTCTGGTTATATATGAGGGCGAGCAGTGGTGGTGTGCTCCAGGCGATCACGGAGAAACCTATTACGATGTGGCCAGTCACCAAACGCGTTGGATGTGCCTGCTCCACGCATGCGTGTGAGGATATTCGAGTCGCCTAGTTGCTGTTTCGGACCCACGACGACAGAATCAGAATTTCTCGGTGTTCTTCATCACTGTGCATGTGTATCATATGCATGGTTGGCGGAGCACCTCAACCGAAGTCCTGATCTGATGATCACGTTCTTTGTCAGTCAATTATATATGTCTTGTTTATATTTTATATATACTATACGTACGTGTAAAGAATGATGGCTGATTTGTCAATTATTGTCCGCTACGGGTGCCATAATATTCTCTGTGTGATATGGTCGACGTATAGTTTTCGGGCAGCCAATAGTAATAGTTTAACAACGAGCGTGATCAGTGATGACAGCAAATTGTTTTGTTGGTAACCAGCAGCAAATAGTTATTGCATTGTTTATATCTGCTAAGCGTATCCTGGCCATGTTGTTTCACTGTCCCAAATCTCATGTGTCAGATGACAAATCCTGTTGTTTAATAACAATACTACTACTATTTTGCCATATGCGCCAATTTCCGTCAATTATATAATATGATTAACAATTTTGATGTAGTAAGAACATCTTACACCATCGAGCCAACTCATAGTCCTACGGCATCTTCACAAGTGGATGCACTATGGTGAGAAGCGCCCTCAGTTTTTCAAAGGCATTTACAGTTAGATTTTTTTATGTTTCCTTTTACAAATAAGTCCCTAAAATTTTAAAAGCCCGTATCTCCATTTTAGGTGTTCTTTATGCTCACGCGATTGTATTTGTGACCCATAAATGTTAGCCTTTTTAATGTGTTTTTAATATTTTATATAATACCCTTGAAGTAAATTTGTTTGTGTCCATTGATGCTGTCTATAGGAGAGAAGATGTTTGAGATTGATCTAGAAGGAAAGCTGGAAGGTTTTAACAACATTTGGATGCAAGTGTCCTTCACCATACTTGCACCTACTTTAGTTGCATGTAGAGTCTAAGTTGATTTTCATGTTTGGGTTTACTAGAAATTCACATGCTTAGCCTTGCAAGTCAGGGTTGATTTGCGGGTAATTCAACTCAAACTTGGTTAATTTTGTTATATATGTGGCAAAGTTGGGAACTTTTGTGAGAACTTGGTTATGGGGTGGTAACCTAAGTAGGACGGATGGAATGGTAGGATGTTTGTTTGGTTTTGTTTGGTCTCTCGGGTTTGTGCTTGATCCTAGCTTGGATTCAATGGACTAGTTAATGGAGCATGTAACTAGGAAAACCACGAAGCCACGAGGTCTATATGGTGTTGGTTGTAGTAGCAGACATCATCGCGGAAGTCACGGTCATCACAGTCGTCATGCCAGTCGCGGCCGTCATCATGGTGGTCATATGGACACCACGGTGGTTGCAGTCGTTGTCAAAGGCGCTTGTTGTGATGCTCCCGCTTGGCCTTGTCCCGAGCGTTTTGCTTTGCATTAATAGTGTGGTGGGTGTCACGGTGTTGCCTGACACAATCATGGATAAAACCACGAGAGTGTCCAGGCTCAGGTCGCTAATTGTCGTCGACACCCCTACTGTTCTTTTCGTGGTGTGGAGGGGCCTGCTACATCTAAGCCTCGTTGCACTGAGACGCCTGGTGACTCCTTGAACAACATGGCATGTCCCTTTGCCTGGAAGCAGATCTCTCGCCCTACTCGACTAGGACCTTGAGCTTTTTGTGGATCATGTGAATGGCTAGATCCTCCAAGATTGTAATGTTTTTTAGGATGCGTGTTGCCGCTGTGATGTTCTAGTTGGCATGAATGAAGATGTGGACATCGGTGACATCGTACATGATGGGACCATGAACGTCACGGTCGCGCTAGCATAGGCGTTCGATGTTTCCCTACTGCCGGTGCTGGTGCTCGAGGTCGGCCCGTTCTCCGTGAGCCGGCTCCTCTAGGTGATGTCCAGGCCAGCCTGCTATGCCATATAAGGTAGCGTTTGGTTGAGAGTCAAGGTGGAGTGGGATGATCCCGTCTCTGATTTTTGGGACGGGACGGCTCCATTTTGTGTTTGGCTGACATGGGACGGGATGGACCCATTTTGTGTTTGGTTGAAGGGATAAATAGAAATGGGATGGATTGTGAATTTGACGTCGTTAGCTATTGTTTAGTATAAACAAGATTATATTGTTACTACGTATTTTAGAAATTTCAGCATATTTTCTGCATAAAAGAAAAAATAACAGAAAAAGGAAAATCATTTTTCACCGGGGACCCTGGGGTTCTAAGAAACTAAACCGCAGCCTAAAGCTATTGAGCGGCACTATTCATATGAGTCACAGGATTTGCATCTGGAACCCTAGAAACTTCCCTAATCCATTTTCACCCTTCTTCAACCTACGGACGCAGTAGAAGCAGAAGCCACAGGGGCGGCCTCGATTCGGCCCAGGCATGGACGCCGGAGGCGTGGGGAGTGGAGCCACGGCCCAGCGGCGGTGCACCACGACCTGAGTGGTCCTCGACCTGGCTGGAGGTGACCCATGGCCTGCAGCCTGCTGGCCATGGCGACAGGCGGCGGCGTGCTCGTTCGCGCATCTCGCCGTCGACCTCGCTCACGCAGCCCGTGACATCGCTCGCGCAGCTCATCGTCGACTCCCTGCCTTGCCTGCGCGACTCGTCTCCGTCTCCTCGCTCCCGACGTCGTCAATCGGGGATGACCTCGTCCCCTCGATTTCGAGGGACGGGAGTCACGCGAATATGCCTAGAATATTCCCAGAAGGGATGGCCACATCCTCCATTCTATTGACTATGAACCAAACAGCCTAAAAGGGGGATCATCCCACCCCATCCCACCTCATCCCACTAACCAAACACTACCTAAGGCGGCCGGTTTTCTTGTAGAGGTATGCCTCCAATTTTTCTAGAGTTCGCCGTATGGGAGCGGGGTTCACTGGTTCTCCTCTATGTCACCTTATTCCACTGCATTGACCTGTGCCATGTCGCATTCGCATGAGGGGTGGTAGGTTCTTAAGCCCTCATTGCTAGAGTTGGGGACGTCGTTATTGTCATATCTAGAGTAGTCAGCGATGATGTTGTCGAGAAGTTGGCCACGTAGTTGTTTACCATCCTGACGAATGTGGTATTCATGGACCGTGGTCTCGGGAGGGAAGTGCACCCGCGCCCCTTTGGATGAGCTTGTCTTGGAAGCCCGAATGGACAATTTGAGGGGCCAGACAATGTACCCAGTCTAGCACTGCACCAGATGTGACCCACATGATAGCCTATCCTAGCATGACGTTGACACCTACCCCTGAACTCCACCCGCACATCGTCCAATGCGGTCCACTTAGGGCGACGTGCCCTACTTGGCTACTGGTTGGGTCATTCAGTCGAACGCTCCCTCTATCGAGTGGTGTATTCCGACTTGGGCTCCTAGCCAACTAAGGTGCCCCTCTATCGGGCTCAACGTGGATTGACCTACCTTAGTCGTGGTGGTCGGTTATGGTCATAGTGAAGATACTCGGGTCTAGGTATTGATTGTTGGTGGTGGGTTGGTATATTAAAGTGGCCCATTTAACATATTCAAGCAAGCTTACTACAATGGTTTGGTTATGACGTTGTTAGTGTACGATGTATGCCCCAATATTTCTATATCTATATATTGCCTTTTCTTTTCATCCCAATGAAAAGAAATTGTGATTATTCCATACACTTGACATGACTTTGAACTTGTACGGTGGGGTAGGATCGATTTTTTAGGAAGGTTGCATTGGATTGGCATTAGACAGTGTTCTATTCTTCGAGATTAGTAAAGTCAAAACTCAATTATTCCTTTTCCATAGATAATGGCTTGTTCGTTCTGGCCCAAGGCAAACGATAGAGATGCATTGAGATAAAAATATCGATACAAGTTACAATGAAAACTCATGTCTAGAACATCAAGTGCGAGAGAACACTCGAAGGAACATATAATTAAAATGCAAGATATAGCCACTGACACGATCGAGCTACAAATAAAAAGAAATGTTTTGTAAGTAGAGCAGACACTAGCCGACCGTACAAGACTGGGCTACGAAATTTTATTATGGCAGCACATGTGCCCAACAATATCTAGAAACGGGCGGTACTAGTTGGGCCCCGCGGACGATCCTCCGTCCACGACGGGTTCTGCTGCTCGCGATCTAACCGCAACGCGCTGCAAGAACAAATCCAGCAGCAATGTCATTATTCAGTAATCAACCGGATGATGGTGGATGAGTTCACTATTGGCAGGGCTAACAGATGAACTAAACAATTACCTGGACGGTGTGCAGCTTAGTGGGGTCTTGTACGTCCTTGCCTCCGGCGGCACGGCCAAAGCCCGCGCCGGTGACACGGTCTACAAGGCCAAGCAACTTGTCCTTGATCTGAGCAGCGAAGTTGGCCATAATGTGATCGATCGACTATTGGAGCTTCTAGCTAGCTAGTAGCTTACTCAGTTACTCCTAACTAATTAATTGAGTCCTAAGCTCAACTGCTTAATCCGAGTAGCTTCTTGCTCCGGTTATGAGGGCGATCGAGTAGTGGTGGTGTGGTGTGCTCTAGGCGATCACGGAGCACCCTATTTATACACGATGAGGGCAGTCACCAAACGCGTCGGATCGACGACCGGGCCCTGACAACACGCATGATGTGACATCCCCTTACCCCACTCGCGTGCGTGTAATAAGGATGTTCAGAATCGCGTGCTTGCTGTTTCGCTTTTCAATACAGACCCACGACAACGGAATCAGAATTTCTTGATCGGCAGCCGCCTGCATCACTGCAGTCTGCATGTGTATCATATGGTTGGCGGAGCACCTCAACCGAACTCCTGATCTGATGATCACGTTAGTTGTCAGTCACTTGCTGACTTGTTTATAGGTACGTACGTGTAAAGAATGCTGGCTGACTTGTTAATTATTGCCCGCTATGCGTGCCATGATATTCTCTGTGATATGCATGGTCGACTTAGTTTTCGGACAGCCAATTGCAATAGTATAAAAATGAGCGTGATCAGTGGTGACAGCAACTTATTTTTGCCGCGCCACAAATAGTTATTGTATTGGTTATATCTGCTAAGTGTGTCCTGGCCATGCATGTTGTTTCACTGTCCCCAAATCTTAGGTGTCAGATGACAAATCATGTTGTTTCATGAATAATAACACTACTACACTACTATTTGTGTATTTGGTTATATATATGCGTCTATTTTCCCTGAAATCGTATATAGTACTGTGATTAACATGTTCTGATCATTGGGCCAGCTCATAGTCCAACATCGCATCTTCACAGGTGAATGCATCGTGGTGGGAAGTGCCCTTCGTAGTTCGTACTGGTCGTGTGGGTTTCTTTGTGGGTGCAGCTTGGTGCACCTGCTGCCTTGCCTAGGCCGTTTGCTGGGGCAAAGCGTCGCAGCTAATGCATGTGGACCCATATAGATGTCCAAACAGGCCAGGCACGATGGGCGGTGCTAGGCTTGGACCTAAAAAGCATAGCACGGTCCGACATGACAACGGTAGTGCCAATGCCAACATGGACATGGGTGTGTCGATCTGAATCGTGATGCCGGCCTGCGGTGTCGGCATGGTCATGACATGAATAATGGGCTGGCACTATACTGATAGGCTAGCACTATACCTATCAGCCATTGGTATCATATCCTTCCTCAACTGTTGGATGCACTTGATGAGATAATCCTAAATACAAAATCATTCCTCCCCTCTCAGCCGACTGCTACTCCTAATCTTAACTCCATATCTTTCTTGCTCGCTCTTTTGAGAGGCCGACCAACTCTCTCTCGCTCCCCCAGATGCCAGTCGCTGCGCCCAAGTCACCAACTCTCTCTCTCTCTCTCTCTCTCTCTCTCTCTCTCTAGGCTCGTGCTTGGGCCGAGATGTCGGCACGGCAGCACAGCATCGCACGGATAAGACATGTATAGTGCCTAATAGTGCAGTGCACATGCCACGCGCAAGGGTCTCACCTTCACACTACTCGCCTAGATTCACATCCTCTATGTTGTCTTAGCCATGGTGGCTTGTTGGAGCAACTTTGGTTTTTGTGCAGCAAAAGTTCTGCGCTTGGTGCATGGGAGGTGTCTGACCTTTGCATGGCCCACCTGGTGGAGGATGCATATCATCCTCGGCCTATTTCTTCTGTTTGGAGTTGGTTCTTGCAGTTCTTGAGTACGTTTCTTGATAGGCCTTAGACGGTTATTGGCTAGCTTAGTGTCATGCTCCGCAGAGTGTGTCCTCCTTTGGTGCCTCTATTTCGTGGGTGCTCTTTTTGTTGGTGCCGTCATCAAGTCAAATGTTGGGTAGTGTTCAATCCACCTCTTCCATCATTCTCCTTCGAGGCTTCCTCCCCTTGTTCGACGTTGGATGGCAGTACGTGGAGCCTAGATGTGTTAGAAGCCTAGAACAGTGTTACCATCAAATGGAAGGACCATCGTAGTATCTGATATACTTTAGCTAGAGTACCTCTGCTATCCTTAAAGCATCTCCTAGAGTCTTTCTTAAACTCATTCTAGATGTGTTAGAAGCCTAGAACAGTGTTACCATCAAATGGAAGGATCATCGTATTATTTGGTCTACTACTTTGGCAGTTTGGCTAGAGTACCTCCACTATCCTTAAAGCATCTCTTAGTGCCTTTCTTAAACTTATTCTCTAAATCATCATTTAGAGAGTCGTTTAAATAAAAATCGCTCTCATATCTTTCCAGAGAGCTTCTATATTGTATTGTGATTTCGAGTTGTGAGATCCTTTGTACTTAGGTTCATGACAATATAATGTGCAAAGTAATTCTAATAAGGGGAGGCAAGGTGCAAAACAAGGTGTGGTAGTTTTTTTTATTGTTACCCAATGCCTTGGTTTATCTAACAGCCATAGAGAGAAAATGAAGAGTCCGCATTGTGGATGTCCTTTTTAGTGTAATAAGGCCCTGTTCGCTTATCTTATAATCCGTATTTTTCAGCTTATTTTTTCAGCCGGAACAATGTTTTTCTCTCACAACAAATCAGCCGGAACAGTGTTTCGGCTTGTTTTTTCAGCGAAGCGAACGGAGCCTAAATCTATCTTTAGATGCTCTCGATCACCAACGTTAGACCGTAAACTTGATGGAAAATGTTATTGACTGATGGAAAATATGAAGGAGATCCACAAGTTATAGGAAGACGATCCACAAATCAAATTACAGCTTTTATGAACCTCACAAATTAAATTAAATTACAACATAATACTATACCCAAGACTATAAAATATGAGTCATGACACTCACGTGACATAGGTTTTCTCTTTATTTTTGCGAACAAATCGGTTTTTCTCTAACAAGAAGACAACCACACGACGGCCAAAGAAAGCACTCAATGTAGTACAACATTCAGAGAGTTCAGACCACCAGCAAGCATGCAAGCAACAAAATACAAAGCCATCCCTAAGCAATCAGCAATGGCAGTATCAATTGGGCCCTGCTTCATTGCCTTCTCCCACATTGGGTTCCTCGGCACCTCTCGATCGGAACTCAACGGGCTGCATGCATACAAGAACAAATAATCCGGCAGCAAAGTTGTCAATTAGTTGGATCTGATCATGAACGTGTACTAGCTAGGTAATTAACGAGCTAGCTGCTATATATGTCTATACGACGTGAAATTTACCTGCACGATATGAAACTTGGCAGGCTCCTCGGGTATCGGGTAGTGTATGCTTGCCTACGCCGGCGCCACCGCTGCCCCAGCCGGTGATGCGGTCGACGACGCCTAGGAATTTTAGCTGAGCAGCGAAGCTAGCCATGGGAGCGATCGAGTAGCTTGTAGCTGGTCGTCTGTGTGGCAATTAATTGAGAACACTACTGGTGCTACCTGAGCTTCTCAGCGAAGCTACTGAACAGTCCCGGTATTTTAAGGGTCCTATGCTGATCTCATCGCAACGGCCCCTCAATCATATATAAAATCTTATAATATATATACGTTAATTTTACTTGTAAAACGAAAGTAAATTCAATAACATATTTTTAATTTAACATGTCTGATAATTATCAAGAAACAATATAGATTAAGCAATATATTTGTAGATGTATGATAATTATCGAGGAACAATGTAGATTAAAAAAGTAATATATTTGTTTTCTTTTCTCACCCATGACAAATGTTTCTTAGGTAACATTCTAAAATTCTAACACCTATATTAGAAGAAAAATATGACTATATAGGTACAAAGTACTAAAAGTCTGGAATACTATATAAATAATTAATTTGGATTAAAAATAAAAAGGAAAAAAATACCTTGTGCCTAAACAACTGATCGGTAATCGCAATTCATAAGAAGCCAAGAATCAAGATGTCGTCGTCGTGGAGCCCTGCATGGTCGTCGTCCTCGTGCGCCGTGTCCGTGTCTCCGGTAGTCTAGCTCTTCGTGGCGGCGCAGCTCGCCAGCTCCGCGTGTGTAAAGCGCACGTCGCGAACTCACGATCAGAGTGTGCTATGTGTAGCGTGACTCCTCGCATCCTCTCTATCCGAGGGCCGTGGGGAAAAGAAATTATGAAAGAAATGCCGATGTTGTCTTTTTAGGCCGCCTGGCCAGTTCTATATCTCTCTTCTCATTAGTTTGTTAATGCCTAATGAACTATAGAATCTGAGGATTTGTATATCTAGGTTTGGGTCCCTCCTCCGCTTGGGCCCTCGGCCGTCGCACCTGGTGATCTAGCCCTAGGGCCGGCACTGCTACTGAAGCAGCTAGCTAACCTGAGTACACTAGCTAGTTTGTTGGTGTGGCTAGCTTTGAGTGTGAATGGTGATCATCAGACGAGAATGGCCCTATTTGTAGGCGTCGAGTGAGGCGAGTGTGGTTGAGCAATGGCCACGCCCGTGTGGAGGGGTTTCGGCTTCAGCTTTGACACCGGCCGGGCACGGATATCACACGGTTAGCTGGCGAGCGATCGTGTTATGTCTTTGATCGTACGTGAAACGAAGCAAGCCTTGACTAATTGTCTAATTTAGGTAGCTTTGTTGATTAATTAATGCTTCCATAGTTCCATGGGACCAAGAGAATGATACGATCGTATCATCACTTGCGCAGCTACTTTGCACTTTGGGATGCAAAGTATCACGCAAACACTCGTTTGCCACGCAAATCTTGTGCGCGCATGATTGCATTATATTGCATTGCTTTGCCTGCTTGGTCATGACTGATGACATGGCACCACACGATCAAAACTTTTAGTTTCCAGTATTAATTCTTGGGCACGTGAAAAAATGATAAACAAAAACATTGAGAGTGTCGGTTCTATTAAGATGAATTAAATAGCCATTTAGCTCATCTAATAATCATGTTTACCTCCACTCTGTTTAAACTATTTTGCCCCGTATTTGACAGTTTATTAAACGGTTTCAAACTGTTTAATAGACCGTTTAGGCTTAAACGATATGGCTGACACCTATTTACCGTTTAAACGTTATTTAAATGACCTAGTCTGTTATAGGAAGTCTAGGGTGAAACAGAACATGTTTACTGTGGAGTCGTCGATTTTGTAAATCGATGTACAAGATGTAACCACGCTAGGGTCTCTAGCTTCCTTGCCTATATTAACTCGTCCATATTCACCCATTTCATATAGTAATTAGAAGCTCGTTTTCTTTTCCAAAACTCGTCCATGGTGCTCTCATCAATCAGCCTCCGCATCTGTTACTGCAGCAGCACCGTCCATCGGATAACCAACGACTGAGAAGCTCGCGAGGAACAACTTCCAAATGTGTATCATATGGGATATGGTTGGTAGAGCCGCGCCCCATGCATGCCCCACTCGCGTGCGTCTGAGATATTCAGATGGCGGACCTCCTCACGAAATGCAAGCTCTGCTTGGCGGCGGCATGCGGTGAACCGGTGACGCCGTGATGTCGAGCGCACTGCACAGCCTCCTGGCTTTCGCGACGGGCATGATCTGCGCCTGCCTCAGGAAAACGAAACGAAGAGGCTAAACGATCGCTTGCCAGTGATCATGATCGGTACTAGTACGGCGGAGGCAGTGGCGCGCTCCCGACGGACATCACGGACACCAAGCAAAGGGATCTGGGGAGAGCTGAGTTCGTAATGAATCTGGGCTGGGCAAGGTTTGGGCTTGGACGTGATAGCCCATGCGGGACCAAGTGAAAAATAATTATGAAAATTTTAATTAATTAAGTGGACAGCTTTAAGATCCATGCACTTTTTAGAAAGAGGAGTACAGGAGCAATTCTCTTTCTATATATCCTTTCATCCTTCAACAACATTTTCAATGTGTGCACCTAGAGAGTCAATCACTTTTCATCTTTAGCTAGCGAAGAGTCTAAAACGCCGAACGATAACATATATTTAAAGAAGCTTTTGTAGGATTTTTTTTGTCAAAATCTCTATTTCTACCGACAAGGAAGAATATAGAGCTCTGTGCTAGCACATATAACCTACTCTCCAATTTTATTGGCTTCCTCTGGCCCGCGTATCCCCGACCGGATCACAAGGCCCAAAGCCAATTTCAATAGGATGTGGTAAAACCTCACTTCGATCGGTTTCAATAGCACTACAGCTCCAGATCCCTTGCCTGTTGCTTAGGCATGAGCATGATGCACGATTGATGATGATCACGCGCGCACACCTTGTCCAGGATGACTGGATATTTTACAACTGAACAAGTCATCATCTACCGTTAATATAGTATTGACCATAAAAAATTTGCAAGCACACATCTTTATTTAATATACTCAAATCCGGATGAATAAAATTCAACGAGTAGCTCAGTTCAAGAATGGAAATATATTAGTCAAATCATTACTTTTTATTTACTCGGAGATAGCAAGATACAACACGTACACTCACACACACTCGGAATTACAATGGTAACACCAAAACCAAAAGAAAAAAATTCACCAGGTTCAATTACGTACAATCATAAAGGAGAAATCAATCAATAACACTACACACGCATTGTGCAGTTTTGGAACGAACTTCCTTTGACGAAAAAGAACAAAAAAAAAACACTGCACAGCCCTGTTCGTTTCGCTGAAATTTAGCTTATACCGATGCTTATGCTGATTTATTTTAAAAGAAAAACACTGTTCATTCGCTGAAAAGTACTGTTGAAAGCGAATGGGGCCTCGAGCGAGCTAGTTTGGCAGTATCAATTCATTGGCCCCGGCCACCGATCCTCCGCCCACAACGGGGTCTCTCGATCTGATCTCAACGGGCTGCATGCGAAACCATAAACACCCGTGCGTCATCAGTAACCTAAAGTCCTAAACTAAACCTTGCATGTATTAACAGTAACAACGGGCGATTCTGGAGCAGGACCTGCTGGATATTTGGCAGCTTGGTGGCCTCTGGCACATCCTTGTCTCTGCCGGCGCCGGTGCCGCAGCCGCCCCAGCCAGTGACGCGGTCGACGAGGCCGAGGAACTTGTCCTTGAGCTGAGCAGCGAAGCTGGCCATCAGCAAGCTTACGTGCGTGTAGCTGCTGTTTTTTGTGCTATATATATCCTGCAGCCTACGAGATTACCAATGGAGCTGGAGCTGTGGTGCTAGCAAGAACGGTGTAGGCGACTGGGCGTGCGTGACGGCTACCTGAGCTCACTCAGTTAATTCCCTTACTCACTATGGCTGGCTTAGCTCGGAGAGTGCGAGCGCTGGAGGCGATCGCCGAGGGCGCCATTTATACACGGCGTCGGCGTGGCAGCTCGCCAAACACGTTAACTTTGCTGGACGAGGGCCATGACAGAGCATACTCATGACTCATCCTGCCTCGATCGCCTTTCAGATTTCATTTCAGAGCGTTTGCTCGCACGCATATCACGCATTCACGCCTCTGATCGAAGAAGCTGTAAGCGTGTTGGACCCGAGCAATGACGCATTGTGCTCTTTTTCGCGTATGTTTTAATGCTAATAACATGGTTGGGCCATGGGCCTAGACCCAACTACTTACACGGGCCCACAGCCCAGCACGACCCAACACCATTCTTGCGTAATTGCCCTTTGCCGCTCTTGCTACACCGCTGACGGCTCCGGCTCCGAATCATCAACGCCGCACAGGCGCAGGTAAAAGCTTCTATAGAACAGATTGCTTGAAAGAAGCGCACCTGATCTGACTCTTTTGGCTTAGGTACCGTTTTGGCGAAATGCCACCGTAGCACTTTCGTTGTTATTTGGCAATTAGTGTCCAATCATAGTCTAATTAGGCTTAAAAGATTCGTCTCGTGAATTTCGTCTAAACTGTGCAATTAGTTTTATTTTTTATTTATATTTAATGCTTCATACATGCGTCCAAAGATTCGATGTGACGAGGAATCTTGAAAAATTTGGTATTTTGGAGTGAACTAAACAGGGCCTAAAGTGAAGTCTCCAAAGACCCTGGAGTCCTCTGTTCCAGTATTTATTGGATTGGATGCTTCGTAGTTCGTAGGTATGATCCAAACTATGAGAAATGCAGGTGATAGGTGACACCAATACACTATGCCGTCGAAGTCGAAGTGTCCATGTCCGATCCTCTAGGATCTGAGAGCATGAACAGAGGTAGGTTCATGCCGTGCTGTTCTTTTAGTTCAGTTCTGACTTTTCACTTCACTTCAGGATCATGGGATGCACGTTTTACTGATGAGCATTGCAATATCTGATGTGAGCAGTTCTGCAGAAGCCTATCAAGCTGGCTTAGTGTTGAACAGCAACCTGGTAGTCCATCTGATTTGAATGCCAACACAGAACACATCTTAGAGGCGAAAGCGAAAGAATGCCTCCAGGCAACAGAAGACGATCAAACTGAGCGGGACTAAAGTCAGCGTCCTTGCCCATGCATGGTCAGCACTGATTATGTTGTAACTTGCAACAAAATTGGGCACACAGAATGAGAAGACAATCTTTTCCGTATACATTATAACCATGAGATGCATTTTTATTGATTCCAGAACCTCCAAATGTACACGCTGAGCACTTATCAACCTCCTTTTCTTTTATTAACATTGCACGAACTTGGGGATTTCACATTCCTGTGAAAAAGATCATCTTTCTCTGTTTTCTTATATTTATACACGCATTTTATCATGGCTTCTATCACTCAAGGCGACATTGAGTAAATAAGCCAATAAAACATGGCCATGAAACCAAGAGTAGAGAGCCGAAGTTTCCATAGAGCCCTACTGCAATGCCTCTGTCATGGTTGAGCGATGAGAGAGTTGTTGCTCATACAGGGACCTGAATATCTGATATTTTGCATCGTGGTATTTCTTCACCCTAGGATCTGAAGACGGATTTACGACCTGAAAAACAAATATATTCAAGTCATAACTGGCAGCCACAGCAGAAGATCCAAGTCAAGAATTTATGCATGTTTAATGAGCACTTAAGCAGCATGGAGCCTAATTGAAGAAAGATAATGGGAAATACCTTCCCTGCTGCATTAAGCGCCTTCATTGCATCACGAACACCAGGAAACTTCTTGCCAGCAACAGCACCCAGAACAGCGGCACCCAAAAGCACAGACTCATTCTCTCTAGGAAGTATTATAGGACATCCTGCAGAGGACATGCAAAAGATGATGCATCAGAGAGGGATGAAGCTGGAGAGGCATGATTGCAAGATAGGACTTACCTGTAATATCTGCATGCTCTTGGATATACACAGAATTCTTTGCAAGTCCCCCACAAGCAAGAAGTGTGTCTATCTATTATATAAAAAGGGAAAATGAGTAATCTTGGCAAGCAGAACTCTACCAATCCGATGAAGTCCTTAATAAGTACCTTGTGGCCATGAGCATTACAATGCTCCACAACATGACGAGTGCCATAAGCAATACCCTGAATTGTTGCTAGGTATAGAAGAGCTAAATGCTTCTCACTTGTATCAAGTGTCAAGCCATAAATCACTCCTTTGGATTTTGGATCAGCAACAGGAGACCTATAATATGTTTGCATTCAAGTCAAACACATTGGAAGTGTGCCACTTAAAGATTATTTCTCTGCAAATTTCAGTTAGATGTCATGAGACATCATAAAGAGTATGTTATGCCACATTCTGGTGTGATTGTGATGTATAGCCTCATAGAAACACATGAGGGCTTTATGCTTTAGCTGTTGTTGTACTGTTTGTTAACTGTCTAATTATGATGGCAGGAGAAGAAAAGCATCTTGCTGCATATTTGGTATGTACATTGTACAAAATTTAGTGTAATGCCAAAAGTTTTCACCAACCGGAGAGAGGTAGTAACTGTAAATGTTGGAGATTACCAGTATTTTGAATAACATTGTGCACTAAATATGTACTGTCTATTTCTTACCGATTTCCATGAAAATCTGGAAGTACATGGGTGTCTTGAGTTAATGCAGAAAGAAACGGACTATTCTTCTCATGTGACATAGAAGGCAACATCTTGTTCAGTAGCTCAAATATGGATATACCTGGTAATTGAGCAAAAAATTAATTTCTTTTTGCTGGTTTCAGGCAGCTACAAAGATAGTGTGCTTGAGAGTACAGGAAACATACTTTGAGAAGCAGCATGGTTAGAAAGAAGAGGAGAGGCAACATGGTTTTCAATAATGTAATCGAGTAGAGCGCCAGTTGCACTTTGGCCACCTTCTGTGAGCCAAAACTCAGGTATCATCGCTGAATTTGGAAGCACAATGTAATATTAGCCAAAATGAAGCACAACACAATAGATAGAAAAGAAACCAACATAAATGCTGGTTGGATTTGTTATTTTGAGGAAAATAAAAAATATATATATTTGAGAAGGCAGCTGTACCAGACCAAAACGGCCCCCAGACACCAGGTATAAACAATCTGTTCTTTGAAACAGCCATGTGGCATGTTGATGTTCCACATACCAATACCATCCGGTGGCATATTGCATGTTCATCAGACACTGTTAAAAACATGTTAGAATATGTATAACATACACAAAGTTTTGAAAGCAATTTCTATAGCAAAACACCAAATTACTCATCACTGACAAGCAGCTTTAGATCCTGCATCTGGAACGCTTTCCATGACTCCAACTCCACCAGCATGAGCATCAATAAGTGAAGTTCCAACAGGAGTACCAGGAAGTAAGCCTAACTCCTGGAATTTAAAGTTACCAACATCAAATCATGAACAACAGGCATTGACAGCATAGGAATGTCTTGTTTACACATATTGTAGAAAAGGCACCTAAACAACTGGATCGCAATGTCTTGTATATATACAGGTTTATCACAAAGTAAGCTTAAACAATACAGCCTCAAAAGTACTGAGCACAAGGAAGTTGCTTGCCTTTGCAGCAGTAGGTGTCAAACCAGAACCAAGAGGATGACCAGGAAAAGCAACACTGCGTCCTGTTTCATTGCATAATACCATAATGATGTATTAGAAAAGTCAATAAACGATTTACCTATAAATGCATCAATTCAGTACAAAAAGAAATAACACTATTATTCACCTATTTTTGCACAATTTCCTTTGACGAGGTCTCCCAACCCTATTTCTTCCCAAAAGACATTGTCCCATCCACATGCCTCCATATCACGAGAATCAGATTCCTTCCACTGTTCCATGTGTGCATGTCCAAGATATGTCCATTTGCAGACAGTTGTGCATAAGCTGCGAGTGTCATCACCTGTTGCTCTAAAAAAGAAAGTACCAGAATAGAGTATGTTATGAAAGCAACTCACCAGGGTACAGCAAAATCAAACAAAGGTAGGGATTCACCTATATGCTAACCAATCACTTAGGTCCATCCACCTACAAACCATAGACCATGACTCTTGAAGATTTTCCTTCACCCATAAGAGCTGCAAATGCACGGTCAAAACATGACACTAGCAACAGAGATACTTTGATGCAGCAGGCCACCAATTGTTTCACCACTTTTCAGTACAAAATAACCGAAGATCAAATGCGAAGACTATGGATACATGTCCAAAACGATAAAGAAACAACATTAACTACAGTGAACTTCACAAACCATTATCCATGTGCATCGCTTTCTGCGCAACACATCCACTCATTCAGCAAATCAAATGTAGATAAGTCAGAATATTGATCACATCACAATGGGTATACTAGTACTCTGACTTACTGAGACATTCAAGCTGAACTTCTAGGATTTCAGGGTGACAAGAAATTATTATCTGATGATCAGCACAGTGGCTGGCATTTCCAGCTAGATGCATGAATAGTAGTGTTTACTGTCTACCGATGGTGAATCAGGATGCCAAAAGCTTGCATGCATGCATGGTACAACCATAAGCATGAAATGTACACGATCTTACACCCTTACCTTTGGAGCCTGCATCTCTGGGGAAACACCCCCACCGCAGTATTGCAGTACCGGCGAATTGGTAGCATTGATTCGCTCTGCCTGGTTCACAGCTCTATGGTCCATCCACACAATGATATTCCTCCTTGTATCACCACTCAAAGAAACCGAAACAGGGGAATCATCAGCATCGACAGCAACTGCAAGG